GGCTGTGCTCGCAGGCGTCTAAGGGCACGAGGCAGGAGGGCGGGGCGGGGCCGGGCCCGGAGAAGGCGCAGGCGGGCACGAAGGTCTGGCGCCGGCGCTCGGCGCACGCGGGGCCCGCGCACGGGCAGAAGAGCAGCGCTTGGGTGAGCGCGGGTGGCCCGCGGGCGAAGAAACGGCGCAGAGCGCGGCGGCAGCGGGCGCGGGGGCAGCCCCCGGGCCCGGCCCGATCCAGACACCGAGCCACGAACTCCGTGCGCAGCCACTGGCACCGCGCGTCCGCCGTGCACGCCTCGGCTGCGTCCACGCATCGGTTCCGTCCGGCGGAGCTCGGCGACCCTGTTGGGGGAGCGGGCGGGCTGCGGTTGGTGGGGCTGCGCCCCCGCCCCCGGCCACACCCTCCGAAGATGTGGGGCGCTCAAAACCGGAGGAGGCAGAGTGTGACCCGAAGGCCTGATTGACTGGCCTTCTGTCGCAGGGATGGGCGGCGGCGGGCTCTGGGGATTCTTGCAACACGTCAGGGATGGATGGGGCGCACCGAGGCTGGGCCTGGCCTCCCCCAGAAGCTGAGACCCATCCTCCCCAGGCACCACCCCAGACAGGCCATACCTATCCAAAGAGGGGTCCACGGGATTCCTCCCTCTCTCACGGACACCGCACCCCCCGGCGCGGGAAACAACAAGACAGACTTTTGGGGACCTGGCTAATGGAGACATCAGAAATGGCGTTGAGGACAGTGGCCGCTCCTCGTCCTCTCTTTGGCACGCTGGGACGCCTGGGCTTTCTTCCTATCCCTTCTTTCCTCCCCCATGAAGACGCTTTGAGTGTGTCTCCAGGTTTCTGGTTCTCCCTGCCTCCTGACCTCCTGCATCTCCTGCTGCCTCCTGCCGCCGGCATCTTCCCCCTCCATTCCCTTCTGATGCTCCCTCTCGCCCGTCTAACCCGTGCTGCCCCATCTGGACTCGCGTGCTCCTGGCTCCCCCACCCTCCACCAGCCGGATGAAAGAGGGACTGACTTCTCACAAGGGCTCTGGGCACTGGAGGGCCCGTTTAGGCCTGGGCTGGCAGGGTGTGGATTCGAGAGAAGTCCCTGATGGCAGGCCACAGGCCTCTATCCTGAGCCACAGGGACCAAGGGTCCATGATAGGTGGCACTCCGCTGGGGGCAGAGAGCTTGCCTAGCACAGCAGAGTCACACACCAGGGGTCAGTTGGGCAGAGGGCGAGCTCTGTCAAGACATGCCACAGGCCACGTCTAAATCCAGCCAAGCCAGGGTCTCCGGGGATCAAGACTTGGCAGCCCCTTCCTAGGACCTAGGTAGGTCGCCCAAACCAGGCTACCCCACCCCTTTGCTCCCAGCCCCCCGGAAGCACCGCAGTCTGAGGGAAGTTTCCCAGCCTGGCCCTGCACCCATCTTGCTGTGTGTGTGGAGGGGGGTGTCGCCCGCCTCAGGCTGGAAGCAGTGCTGCTCCCTGGCACTGGCCACCTCTTTCGGGGGCCTTGGTGATTCTTGCTGTGGCTTCAGCGCCCTCTGCTCTGCAGGGAGGACGAACAGACACTAAGGACTTGGAATGGGTATGTGAGTGGAGGGGGTAGACAGGAGAGGGGCGAGCCCTCCCTTCCTCTCTCTTCTCCTCCCCTCTAGCAGAGCAGCAGGCAATCTTCCCCCTTCTCTCCCAGCCAAGTACGTCACATCCCCAGGCCACAGCCACACACAACAGCACCTACTGTCACCATGGGTGTTGGTCCAGCTCTGCCCTTTGCTTACCTGTCTCCGTCTGCCAGGAGCTGCCTTACCTCATCTCCACTCTCAAAACAGCACATCTCAGCTGCAAGATCTCCTCTGCCTTAAACTTTTGCCCGATTCCATTTTCCCCACCCCACCCCACCTGCTAAAGTGACCCCTCCCTCGGCAATGCCCCAGGTGAGGAAGGGGCAGTCCCGAGTAGGTGGGACAGCAGGTGCATGGCACGGCAGACTCTGAAGATGCAGAGGAAGGAATCAGTGTGAAGCTCCAAGACTGAAGGCAGGGGGCTGGGGCTGGGGGGAGGGTAAGAGAGGTGGGAGAGGGGCAGCAGTAGGAAAAGGAAAGTTTCTGGGGCAGGAGTACCAAGGCGGGACTTGGGAGGGGGGCGCCCCCATGAAGGCGGGAGGCGAGGTGCACAGCTGCTGGAGCATAGTGCCAGGTGTCCCTGCACCCCACCCCCCACAGGTCTCTCGCCCATGCCCCTTTTTACACTCCAGCTTTTCCTGGAGTCACCCTCTTGCCCTCCCACCCTGTCCCTGAGAATGGGGACAGGGAGGCCAGGGGGAGGAGGTAGCCACTCACCCAGAAGCAGTAGCAGCAGCAGCAGCAGCACAGGCCCCAAGCAGCAGGCCATGCTGGGCAGCAAACAGAGGACAGGACGGAGGCAGAACCCTCATCTGACAGGTGCCTCGTTCCCAGCACTGCCTGGGCTGGAGCTCCTTGGAAACCCAGGTGTCTGCGCTAACAGGAGCACTCATGCTGGGAGGAGGCTTTGCATGACTCCCCGCCCCCACTCAGTCTCCACCTCAGGCTGCACCTCCAGTTAGATCTGGGAGCCACTGAATCCAGCACCTGAGTGTGTCTAGATGGACCCCAACACACTCTTTCCTATCCGCACAAAGCAACACCCACACAACAACCCAAGGAAACCTTGTCTCTCCTATGCTAAACCATTAACCTTTGGAAACAACATTGTTCTTTACCTTCTTTTATAATTTAATTTTTTTTTCCTGAGGAAGATTCGCCCTGAGCTAACATCTGTGCCAGTCTTCCTCTATTTTGTATGTGGGTCGCTGCCACAACATGGCTGCCACCGAGTGGTGTAGGGCCGTGCCTAGGAACTGAACCAGCTGCAGAAGTGGAACACCCTGAACTTAACCACTAGCTCTCAGGCTGGCCCTATTTTTCATTTTTTATTAACTGATTTTAGACTTGCAGAAAAGTTGCAAAAATATTAGCTTTTCCCTTAGACCCTTCATTCGGGATTGCTTTGGCTACTTGGGGTCTTTTGAGGTTCCACACAAATTTTAGGATTTTCTATTTTTTGTGAAAAATGCCATTAGAATCTTAATAGGGATTGCATTGAATCTATAGATGGCTTTGGGTAGTATGGACATCTTAACAATATCAATTCTTCCAATCCATGAACATGGTATATTTTCCATTTGTTTGTGTCTTCTTCAATTTCTTTCATCAAAGTCTTGTAATTTTCAGTGTACAGATCTTTCACCTCCTTGCTTAAATTTATTCCTGTTTTATTGTTTTTGATGCTATTGTGAATGAGATTGTTTTATTTCTTTTAAAGATATTTTGTTGTTAGTGGATAGAAACACAACTGATTTCTGTATGTTGATTTTGTATCCTGCAAATTTACTGAATTCATTGATTAGTTCTAACAATTTTTTGGTGGAGTCTTTAGGATTTTCTATATATAAGATCATATCATCTGCAAATAAAGACAATTTTACTTCTCCCTTTCTGATTTGGATGCCTTTTATTTCTTTTTCTTGGCTGATTGTTCTAGCTATGACCTTCAGTGCTGTGTTTAATAGGAGTGGTTGGAGTGAGCACCCTTGTCTCGTTCCTGATCTTAGAAGACAAGATTTCAACCTTTCACCGTTGGGTATGATGTTAGCTGTGGGCTTGTCATATATGGCCTCTATTATGTTGAGGTATATTCCTTCTATACTCAATTTGTTGAGTGTTTTTATCATGAAAGGATGTTGTATTTTGTCAAATGTTTTTCTGCATCTTTTGAGATGAGCATATGATTTTTTATCTTTCATTCTATTAATGTGGTGTATCACATTTATTGATTTACATATGTTGAACCATCCTTGCATCCCAGGGATAAATCCCACTTGATCATGGTGTATGATCGTTTTAATGTGCTGTTGAATTCAGTTTGCTAATATTTTGTTGAGAATTTTTGCACCTGTATTCAGCAGGGATATTGGCCTGTCATTTTATTTTCTTGTATTGTCCTTATCTGGCTTTGGTATCAGAGCAATGCTGGCCTCATAAAATGAGTTTGGGAGTGTTCCCTCCTCTTCAATTTTTTGGAAGAGTTTGAGAAGGATTGGTGTTAATTCTTCTTTATATGTTTGGTAGAATTCACCAGTGAAACTACCTGGTTCTAGGCTTCTAACTTCTTAGCTTGGACTCTTATCCCATTAACTTTCAGCTTTCCTTTGAATAAAAAAGATGTATGTCTATAAATTTCCCTCAAAGTACCACTTTCATGGCATATACAACTTTTGATTGTTCAATTTTTATCATGCAGTTGTATTTTAAAACATCCAACATGATTTCTTCTTTGACCCATGAGCTGTTTAGAAGTGTGTTATTAAAGTTCCAAGCATATAGGGATTTTTAAATTAATCATTTTATTGACTCTTAATTGCTTTGTCATTAGACAATGTGGTCTGAATGATACTAATTCTTTAAAATGTGCTGAGACTTGCTTTAATGGTGTGATACTTGTGCATATGAGGAATGCATATTCTCCGTCAATTGTAGAAACTCTGTCCAAGTCCTTTATCTCAAGGTTTTTAATTGTTACGTCCAAGTCTCCCACATCTTTACTAATTTTTTGAGACTGCTTTACCAACCAAAAATTGAGAGCGGGGTGTGCCCAGTGGCTCAAGCCGTTAAGTGTGTGCACTCCGCTTTGGTGGCCTGGGGATCATGGGTTCGGATCCCGGGCACGCACCGACACACCGCTTGTCACGCCATGCTGTGGCGGCATCCCATATAAAGTAGAGGAAGATGGGCACAGATGTTAGCTCAGGGCCAACCTTCCTCGGCAAAAAAAGAGGAGGATCGGCATCGGATGTTAGCTCAGGGCTGATCTTCCTCACAAATAAATAAATAAATAAATAATAAATAATGGAGCCAGCCTGGTGGTGCAAGCGGTTTTGCGCACACTCTGCTTCAGCAGCCCGGAGTTCGCGGGTTTGGATCCCTGGGGCACACCGACACACTGCTTGTCACGCAATGCTGTGGTGGCATCCCATATAAAGTAGAGGAAGACGGGCACAGATGTTAGGTCAGGGCCAATCTTCCAATCAGCAAAAAAGAGGAGGATCAGCATCAGATGTTAGCTCAGGGCTGATCTTCTTCAACAAAAATAAAATAAAATAAATAAATAAAAATAGTAATTGAGAGAGGTCTGTTGCAGTTACCACTATGATGGTGAATCGGTCAATTTATTCCAGTAAAAAATTTTAGGCTATTCTGTTTGGCACATTCATGTTTATAATTGTTAAACTTTTCATATCTTATTATGTAATGATCCCTCTCTGCTCCTAGTAATGTCTTAAAGTATATTTTGTCTGATGTTAAAATAAGCATTCCAGGGCCTGCCCCATGGCTTAGCGGTTAAGTGCGTGCGCTCCGCTACTGGCGGCCTGAGTTTGGATCCCGGGCGCGCACCAATGCACTGCTTGTCCAGCCATGCTGAGGCAGCATCCCACATACAGCAAGTAGAAGGATGTGCAACTATGACATACAACTATCTACTGGGGCTTTGGGGAGAAAAAGGGAAAAAAAAAGGAGGAGGATTGGCAATAGATGTTAGCTCAGGGCCGGTCTTCCTCACACACACAAAAAAATAAGCATTCCAGTTTTATTTTGTATTTGTGTATTATAGCTTACCCTATCCTATTTCTTTCCGCCTTGCTTTGAATTTAAGTTTTAGATGTATCTCTTTTATTTCAAATCTGACAATCTCTCTTTTAACTGGCATGTTAAATCCATTCACAATTATTATATTATTGACATCTTTGGACTTGTTTCTATTATATTTGTGTTTTCTATTTGTCACATTTTTATCCTATTTTTATTATTTTTTTCTCTTTGAGTTTTTCTATTCCACTTTTTCCTGTTGAACTGGTTTAAAAGTTAAAGTTATATCCTCTATTTCAATCTTTTTGTTTCCCTTTGAAATGCTACTTAATTAAAGCACTAAATTAACCACCTGTATCTTAACTCTCTTCTTGAACTATAAAAGGACATAGAACATTTCAACCAAAGTTACCCCTTCTGGGCTCAGATGCTATTGTCTAATATTTTGTCCAGTCCTTTTCTGACACCATGAATTAGCCATTACTATTATCATTTTATAAAACATACAGATAATGTTTGGTATAAATACATTTTTACAAAGCAAGCTGACACTGACAGAACTGCTGGCTTGGGGACACCTCTGCCTCTCTGTGTCTCAGGCAGGCCCAGGCCCCTATTGAGTGAATGGACTAAGATTCTGCAAGTTCCTGGAGAGGATGGAGGATTATAGCAGTGAGACTTCCAGGAAGTCTCTTGGGAAGACTTCCAGAGCTAGACTAGAAGGGCAGCCCCACAAGAACATACAACGGAGAAAGGAAAGTCTCTTCAACAAATGGTCTTGGGAAAACTGGACAGCCACATGCAAAAAAATGAAAGTAGACCATTACCTTACACCATACACAAAAATTAACTCAAAATGGATTAAAGAC